CACAGCGAAGGCTGCAACGTATGCAAAACATTTCATCCGTTTCTTGCGACGCTCTTCCCTTTGAGCCACTGAGGCCACCTCTTGATCATATGCCATTGATTTTAATTCTTTTTGGTGCTGGAATGTGGCTATTTGCACGAAATGTTTGTTGAATAGTTTTGATTGCTTGATTCTTGGCGAAGTATATAAAGCTTGAAGGAAGCTTTCAGCGGTGATGAAAAAGTTTAGGCAGTCTCGTGGGGTATTTATAGATCCATAAAACGTGTACCAAAGAGAGGTGTTTATTGATGTGTTAAGAGGTCCGCGCTTAGGACAACTATTTTGAAGTTTTCTTGCGAGAACAAGTGAACTTTTGCTGCTGAAGTTAAAGACTCTGTAAACTTTTTGATCTCGTCCTATACGCGCCTGCAAGTTTTTTGACTATAGCTGCCCAGCAAGGCTTTAGTATGATTTTGTTGAAAATAAGATCATTGCCCATCCAGTGTCGGGTGGATTTGGGGTTTTTGTTTTGGGGGGGGGGGGGGGGGGGGCGGTGTTATATATAATTCTCTAAACAAAAGGAAAGAGTGTGAAACAGGCAAGAAAAAAAAAAGAGAGAGAGAGAGAGAGAGAGAAGAAGAGAAGTTCCTTTCATCAAATGTAAATCCAAATTTCTTTTGGGTAGCAAAATACATACGGATCGGATCAATCCACTTTTCACCTAGTTGCTTGAACGGGTGGTGAGCTGTTGCACAAAAAGTGGTATTCCAGATGCAATTCAGGTGTAATAACTCAATTTTCTCTTAGCATATAAAATTCCTCTTGATGCTACACAAAATGTTTTCTAGTGAGAGACTTCCAAATTTATATAATCAAAGATTACAAAATGAGTTATTTTTAAAACTGCCATTAAAGTACAGAAAATGTGTGAAGTCTTTCAATTATACCCCTTAAATTGATTTACTTCATCAATTAAATTTTTGTGTTTGAACAACATACACAAGCTAGCCATTACTAAACGATTAATCGAGAGAGAGAGAGAGAGGAGAGATGGGTGGCCATAAAACTACCATGAAACATTCTATATATGAAAGTCACTGCTTACAATGTGTACAGAGAAATGCAATTTTTGGTTCCCGATATTGGCTTATGTGCTAAATTGGCTCCTCAAGTTTCCATCAAAACTAATTGGGTCCTCAAAGTTTCTCATTTTAAGTAAATTTAGGACCACTGACTGAAAATCATAATAATTAACTATCAAAATCAAATTGTTATTACTCAAAAGTGTTCATTTTGCAATTTTTCTTCATAATATTTTAAGTAATTATAATTAGCATTTTAAGACAAAATGGAATGTGAATTAATTAAATAAAAAATAGATGTGTTCCAATTAGTTGAAGAAAATGAGAAAATTTTGGTGTTAATAAATAACTTTATTAATTACTACTAAACAAATTCTTCCATGACTAGTGGAATAGGTTGTAAATTGGTAGTTCGTAATGGTGATTTTAAAAAAATTAGTGAATGTAAATATCTATATGATGTGTTTTTTGGAAATTTTTTTTTAAAAAAAATCCCTTATATTTTTTATTATCTTTCTTACCTATTAAAATTCCAGGTTCCAATAGTAAAGTTTTAAAATATTTATTTTGCTATTTGTACACATTGATAATTTTATTGAATGATTAAAATAATTCTACAATATCAACTTCATCTTAATTGATAACCTGTTGAAATGTGAAAAAAAATTGTCAACCTAATTTACATATAGTATAGATTCTTATGTTTTAAAAGGATATTTAAATAAATGTTTAGTTATTAATACTAGTAAAAAAATGACAGACTTGTTATCAATTAATTATTTATAATTTAAAACAATAAATACACACATAATGCTAAATTTGAAACTAACTATACAAAAGGGGAAGAAACCTGTGAGAAATAGTTGGATGAATAAATGAGATAAAAATGAAAAAACAACAAGAAGTTTGATTCATTTTTGCACTTTTTTTAAACAAAAGTTTGACCTAGTTCATATTTCATTTCATCCTAAAACCACAGTATAACTATTTAAAACTTAATAGACCGTAATGATTCAAATTCAAAACATTTTTGGGGAGCAAAAAGGCATAATCAAAGTTGTTGACTAATTAAAATTTGTTTTTTTTTATCACTTTTTAATGTTTAATTTCCGTCAATTGTCCGAAATGTATCTAAAATCAGAAATTTTAGAGACCAAATTTGTTTTGATGAAAATATTATAGACCTAACTACTTGACACACGCGCCATACATTGGGAACTAAAACTACATTTTCGCATTAAATGTGTTCTGGTGTGAGCGCCTTGTACTATTTTATCCTTTTGGGTGAAGGTTATATGGGAATTCCAACGAGTGAAAAAATCATTTATGTGGAATATATTCCTCTAGCTTTACAAATTGGATGGACATCTCTCTTAAATTACTAGTATTTGATGAAGTAGCAAAAAATCACTCCCGGAAGTTTGTGATGGCTTACGTGTTATGATTTGAGTTGGTAAGGAGAGAGAGAGTAGAAAAGAGCAGAATTCTTACTGCGAGAAATGAGTGAGCGTACAATTTGAATATTCTCAGATGCGTCCTAGTGTACAGAAAGCACTTTATTAGTTATACAACGTATCTGCCCTATATTTCCTTCAATCAATCTGCTTTGGTGATACCTAACTGTTACAATTAACAAACCAACTGCTAGTAACGGCTGGTCCCACTAATTGCTAACTAACTTCCGGCTGGCGTTGAAATTCCGTGTCATAACAGTACGTTACAGCTGCATGAGACTTCCTAAAACAACCGACTTCAGTTAAATGCTGATGAAGTTCGATGCATCCCAGAAAAACCCAACGGCGAAGGAAAGCTGACAAAAAATTGTACGTATTAGGCACGTCACGCAACTAGATGTTCTTTAGTTCCTTTTTCTTTTTGGGGAACATGTTAAAGGCAAGCAACTTATTGTGTATATCACTTTGTAAAACGGTACAAAGGACACAGAAACCCACCGGAGGAGCTAGCCGGCTGTCAATACCTATGCACTATCCAATCACCACTTGGGATTCTTAGTGACATGTTTTCTATGCCAACTCAATGTCATCAATAGTGTTGCGCCAAGTGTCATGTTATTATTTACATTTTAATTTTCTAATAATTTAACTTGGTTTGGTTTAACACAAGTGTAAATAATAACATGGTACTTGGCGCAATATTATTGGTGGCATTGGGTTGACATAGAAAACATGTCACCGAGGATCCAAGCGACAAATTATGAGCACTCCAAATCTTGGAGCTGCCTTGATGAGATATTGAGGTTCATGGTGCAATTCATGTCGGTGGACTTATTTTTCTTGAAGATCAACATTAGCATCAATTTTCCCCTCAATGTTGCTCGGCTAGTCAGAGGGATCCAAGCGTGTTGACTCAATTCATTTCCTAGTACATCCCCGGGCACATTGGCAGAGGACAAATCCACCGGAATGACGAATTTCTTAGTTGATCTGAAATTAGCCTTTCCCCTGGGAACCACAGCTTCTCCTACCTTGTACTTCTGATAGAAGAATTCAATAGTGCTATTCTGGTACTTGTAGCGACCGAAGTTTGCATTCTTGACAGAGAGCTCTGAAATCATCTTGGTACTAAAAGAAGCATTTGTGTTTAATGTTGAAACCTGGAAATCCTCAAATGCGGCAGACCTCAGGCGGAATTTAGGCGTCCTGACCTTCATCAGCACAAGTGCGAAGACCAATATGACTGCTGTGTGGAATACAGCAAAGGCTGCAACGTATGCAAAACATTTCATCCATTTCTTGCGACGTTCTTCCCTTTGAGCCACTGAGGCCACCTCTTGATCATATGCCTTCCGTGCACCGTTCTCTGCCATTGATTTTGATTCTGTTTGGTGCTGGAAATGTGCGATTATTTGCACGAGATGTTTGTTTAATTGTTTTGATTGCTTGATGCTTGGTGACGTATGTAAAGCTTGATGAAAGCTTTTGCTGGTGATGGAAAAGTTTAGGCAGTCTCATGGAGTATTTATATTTTGCAGTGCTAAAGATAGGTGTTCGTTAGAGGTCCAAACTTGGGACAACCTTTTTAAAGTTTTGTTGTGAGAGAATAAGTGAACTTTGCTGCTGAAGTTAAAGACTTTGAAAACTTTGCTTGTTCTGGTCGCATACGCACCTACAAGTTTTTGGCGCCTACAAGAAATCAGCTCTTATTGAGCCCCTTTTCCCGTTTGTTTAGCATGGAGAAATAAGTTAATTATTTTCTTATAAAGGTATTGAAAAAATATAAAGGAGGGACTAAATCCATACTCTCTTCCTAAATTTTTCTGAATCCAAATTTATGCTTCCACGATAGAAATAGTATGCCTTGCACCGTCCTTTTACCTATTTATTTCTATCTTTCAAAATTTTTTTTTAGTTTTACTCTATTCTAATTTATGTAAGCTATCGAGTGTTAGTCATTTTCCTATCCAACATTTCATAGGTTTTGAGATTTTTGGGTCTATCAATGATGTAATACATCAAACTTTGATTCTCAATATGTAACAATCAGACTTGACAAGCCTACAGCATTCCTTGTAAAATTTTTCGACAGTTGTATCTAGCTTCTCGTCAAGTTTTTGGTTACTAAAATGATCAAATGAAGTAGTACGATATCTTTTTCTATTTTTTTCACCATTAAACAATGTTATTTTTGTGATTTATTCATGTGTGAGAAATCTGTTCCTTACTGTGATCACTTTTGAGAACATACCTTTGTGTTATGGAGGCAGATAATTTTTGTTAATTTCATTATGAAAAGATAACTTTAGAATCTGCAAAAAAATAACAACTAAACTTACTAAATGATAAGGGTTTTAATGTCATATGAGTGTTTAGGATGTGGATTTAGCACAGGAAGGTGTGGATTTAATCCCTCCAAAAATATGAAAGTCTATTGGATTAGTACCTCACTAATAACTATTTACAGGACAGGAAATTGATGGAGTTATTGTCCGAAAGTCATCTTACTTAAATTTATGGTACAATTCATGTTGGTGACCTTATTCTTCTTGAAGATCAACATTAGCGTCACTTTTCCTCTTAGTGTTGCTCGGCATGTCAAAGGGATCCAAGTGTGCTGCCTCAATTCACTCCCAAGTGCATCACCTGGCAGATTGATGGAGTTAAAATCCACAGGAATAATGAAAGTTTTGGTCCATGGCATATTCGCCTTTCCTTTGGTAACCGCTGCTTCTTCCCTTACCACATAGTCCTGATAGAAGAATCCAATGGTGCTATTGCGATACTTGTAGCAGCCAATGTTTGCATTCTTGACTGAGAATTCCACGATCATCCTTGTGTTGAATGAAGAAGCATTTGTGACTAATGAGGAAATGTCGAAATCCTCAAATGTGGCAGAATTTACCCGAAAAAAATTTAGGCTTCTTGACCTTTATCAGGACGAGTGCAAAGACCAATATAACAGCAGTTTGGAACACCGCAAAGGCAGCTACATATGCAAAACACTAATTCGTTTCTTGCAACGCTCATCTCTTTGAGCTAATGATCAGGCCACCTCTTCATCCACCATTGCTTCCCTGTTCTGTGCCATTACTTGGAGGATCTAATTGAAGTATGTCCTGCATATCTATTTTAGTTTTTGGCAGGAGTGTTCTATTTTAGGTCCAAGGGTTAAGAGATTATAAATAGTCTCTTAGAGTTACTTTTAGGAGGGCAGGTACATTTTGGGATACAGAAAAATTCAGAAATGTAAGGTCGGCTCAAATGCAAGAGTTGAAGATTGTCGAAATAAAATTGAGAAGTTTTTTTTACTCTTGGTCTTTATGTATTGCGTTTCAATTTTTGAATTCTTGCATCTCATAATTATTACAAGTAGCTAAATCATTAATTAGGGCAAGGGTTGTAGAGTTGATTGGTTTACTTATGGATTAATTTTGATATTTATGAACTAATTGTTTAATCTTATGCCCATGATTTGGACCTTTTGATTTAATTTATATTTCTATACTTGATGCAATAGGAGTAATTATATGTGGTTTGTGTGAAGAACTGAAATGTGACATACAACCGTGCACTAAAGGGAGAAACGCAAAAAAGTCTAGATTCGAGATATATTTGGAATCTATTTGATGACACCTCTAATTACTTGCACTCTTAAAGGAGATAATTGAATTTCATTTGTGCATGATCTTAATTGTTGTTCATGGTAATCAAAGTGATCTGGTAATAAATCAATTGACTCTTCCTAGAAGAAACTTGTAGCCCTAATTTCTTTTTGATTTAGCAATAATCATTCTTCATTCATTCAGTTTCATTTATTTGTTTTTCATTGAAATAATATATTAAATATTTATTCCTGTAGGTTTAACTTCTGAAATACTCCAAATGATTATTACTATGGTTAATCTTGTACACTTGCAGAATTCTATCAATGAATTTCGTTGGTCGCTTAATTAATGAGAAGGTGCTAAAAGAAAAGCTAATTCAGTGTGATGGAAAAGTTTGAGAAGTCACATGGACCATATATGGTCTTACCTTGCATAGAAGGATAGCAGATTTTCTAATTAATTAGTGTTAGTTGGAATTGCTTAGGACTACTTAATTGAAGTTTTCATCCGAAAAAGACTTGAGTGTATATTGGGTCCGAAGCACCGAATGGTTTGTTGACAACTTGACATCTTGTCACGCGTTTAAAGGCTGTGATCTCTTGATTTTCTAGATAGCTGGAAGTTACGTAATAAATTCGAAAGCGCTAGGTTTTATGCAACGAAAAATCGTTCAAAATCTTCGTCAAATAAATTTTTTCATCCTTCAGTTTTTAAATATTAACTTTACATTTCTTACAAATTCAAATTAATAAAACTTGGTTTCAATTTAAGTTTTCGACCACTTGTTACTTTGAAATCACCACGTGATGCACATGGAGTCATTTTTTATGTATAGAAAAGTTAGATTCCGCAAAAATGAATATGGATTAAGTCAAAACTCACTTTTTTTTAAGTAAAAGAGTAAATATGATTTAGGTCCAATGCTACCTTTTTAGAACTAAAAATGAATATATTTCTAGTCATTTGTTTAATTATAAATGATATTTAACATTTTTTTTCCCTTAAAAAATGCTCATATATAGGTTACGTGATGGATTCAAGGTAAAAATTAGTCAAAAAAACTAGGTTGGAACCAAAATTTATCGCCTTGATTTTGTAAGAAATGAAAATTTACTATTTTAAAAGTGAACGATGAAAAAATTCATTTAACGAAATGTGAGAGACATTTTGAACGATTTTGCCTATATGTAATCTAGATGAGTTCGTTATCCAGGTCTCCTATGTGGTGCTTTCTAATTGGTGAGTCCTTTTCTTTCTTTTCTTTTTTTTTTCCCCGAGATATGAATCATATGTTTCCAAGGTAATTGATTGGGAAAAAAAAACTCCTAAGTTTGTCATTCAAGATGAGAATAATTTTAGAAAAGATGACAGGGCGTAAAACTTTTCTAAAATAATTGCTACCATTAAATTAGATGGGTGCGCACCCGTATAGATTTAGGAAAGGTATATAGTATAATATTTGTTTATTGATGAGAACTGAATCACCATTAAATTAGATTGAGTGCGTATTCGTATAGATTTAAAAAAGTCATATAGTAAGAAAATGATGGAACGTAAGATTTAAACATTTGACCTCTTATCTCGCCAAGACATTTAGGTCATTGGTGGCGGTGAACGGCCCAAACGACTGTCAACTATTGGTTTCTGTATATTATTGTAAGACATACCAAAGTTTGGCCGGTTTAAAAGTGATAATGGTCCCAGTCTTCCACAGATGACCTTCTATACTGTAATTCCAAGACCAAGTTGGTAGGACCATTAGATTTGACTTTGGACTTGAACACCAAATATGGAAATTTTAGCTTTTTTTTTTAAAAAAAATATCATAATTTCATTAAAATTTGCACTAATAGTAGATCAAATTATATCATCAAACATAACATATATATATATATATATAAAGCAAATATGAAGGATAGATGCTACAGATTTAAGAAACAGATAAAACAGATCTAATGGGCTTTGTTTTGTTTCACATGATGCACCTCAGAATAAATGTTCAAATGACTATTGGAGATATTCTTATTAGTTATGGGCAACTTAATTGCAAAGGAAGTTTTGAAATTTTCTTAAACTATAAGCACTGATTTGGGGCAACAATGAACGGCAACGTCGTAATTAGCACAGGAATTCTTCTTTCGCTTCAGAAATTACAGCAATTTTAAAACAGAACATAATGGCAGTAGAACTTTTCCAGGCATTTGAACGGCAACTTCATAATTAGTACAGCAATTTTAACTTCTTTCGCTTAAGAAATTACAGCAATTTTAAGACAGAAGTACGGAACATAATGGAGAGAGCAACTTCACAAGGAATAAATTAAACTTGACAAAAACAAAATATATCAACACCACACACCAAGTCATTACAACAATTTTGAAAATGAAACCCAATGGAGGAACTTGTTAACGAGGAATATATTAGGAAACAACCAAAGTACTTGTATCACGACCAAGTCATCTTGCTAGCATAACGAACTATAGGGGAGTATATCAAAGACTTTCCAAACCAGCTGTTGGAAAATCGTGATCAATCAATACAAATATCTTCAAGCTCCCTTGTCTTTTTTCAAATAGAAGCGTCTTTTTTGACAATTCTAACGTAGATTTTCAGTGTAACTTGAACCGAATGTGTGGAAAGTCAAGTAAAAACAATAACTGCAGAGCGCGTTATTGGCAGGAAAACTTTTGAGGGCTGATGTAGAAATTCCTTAACTTTGGGCATTGGTTATACGAGAATTCTTCAACAAAAGGAGCTCTCATGCTAATTCAATTCATCTATAAATGCTCCATTTCACTGCTAAAGTTTTTCCATCACCACCAGCTAAACCTTCAACATCTTCTCATTAAGCAAGGGAAAGCCAATACACCCCACCAAAAAAAAAAAGAAAGAAAGGTTTACTCCTGATTCATTCCCACTTTTATTCAAGCACCAAAGTTCATGGCAGCGAACGGAGAGCACAAGATGAGCGGCGCACCACCAGCAGTCAATCCTTATGGCCGAGTGGATGAAGAGTTGGCCTCGGTAGCTCAAAGGGAAGAGCGTCGCAAGAAGCGAATGAAGTATGTTACATATGGTGTAGCCTTTGTTGTGTTCCAAACTTTTGTTATATTGGTCTTTTCCCTCGTGGTGATGAAGGTTAAGACGCCTAAATTCCGCGTAAGGTCTGCCACAGTTGAGGATCTCCAGGCTACAAATGCTAACTTCAGTGGCAATATGCATGCAGAACTCTCTGTCAAGAATGAGAACTTTGGTCGCTACAAGTACCAAGAAAGCACTATTGATTTCTTCTTTCAGAACTACAAGGTAGGGGTGGCTGCGATTCCCAAGGGAAAGGCTGGTTTCAAATCAACTAAAAAGTTCACCGTTCCAGTGGATTTGTCCTCTGCCAATGCCAATGTGCCCGGAAGTGAACTGAATCAACACGCTCTGATCCCTCTGACCAGCCAAGCAACGCTGAACGGAAAAGTGAGGCTAATGCTGATTTTCACGAAGAAAAAGTCCACCAACATGAATTGCACCATGAACCTCAATACCTCCTCCAAGCAGCTTCAGGATATAAGCTGCAATTAGAGACCTTCCCATGATCTCTAGTATCCAACTTTAGTAGTGTTTTTAAGTGTTTTTTTTTTTTTTTCCATGAAGAGAGGTATAGTACTGTTACAAATTCTTTTATTCTTTTTGTTTGAGGGGAGAGAGTAGCTAGCCAGCGTCTGTGTTTGTTGCTCTGGCCCCCAACTTTTGTGGTCGATATGTATTACTTTTACAGTTCAAACATTTATACGCTATACTTCTTTCTGTTATTAGTAAGTAAAGTGCTTGTCTAGATTACGCTGCTATGTATGTTCTTTTTAGCCCTCATGTTGTTGTCATCTTTTCTTGAAATCATAAGGCATCATATATAGTAATATAATGACCTCATCATTTCATGAATAAATATCACGAATTATTCAAAAATCGGAATATAAGTAGTTTTTTTTTTTTTTTTTTCTGTTTTGACTCCCTGTGTTCACTCTTTCTGTGCCGATTCTGCCATATTATTTGGAAATGATTAAACATCTCTTTATATTTTATATTTAAAGCATAAAATATAATCTTCTTTAAAATATATCATATTCTTCTCATAACTGCTATGGCTATACTCTTCCCATTCATATTAATCAGCAAAAATCACCAAAATAACCTTCTTTCTTTAAAACAAAAATACTTCCATTTTTAAGCCTAA